TAAAAAGTTTTCGACAAGACTGCGACACGATGTTTTAGTTTTAATATTTTGGCTAGGCGCGCTCGAATTTAAAATACTGAAATATCTATTTGTCTGTTGCCTTAATATTTTCCTCGACAATTTTTCCGATTTTCAGTACAGAAATCTTTAAAAATCTTGGAGAAATATATCTCGAACTTTTTCAAAGGATGTATAAATTATCTCAGCACAAACCAAGCGAGTTCTCAAGTGCATAACTGATTTAGTCCCGTGCGTACACTTGCAATTTGCGAATTTACTAGAGAAACAAACGTCGAAAAAAATATTTTTTTGTAAATCCAGGTAAATATTATCTGCCATTTTGGAAAAACGAAACGACACTCCTAAAACTGCATTCTCAACTGACCTATAAACAAAACGAAAAAAAATATTACAAACACGGTTTGTAGTTCTCCTTAGTTGTGTTGTTGTTCTACTGCAGGTCTAAAAACTTTCCTCGCTAAATTTATTAATCGAAATAAACAAACAGCAAACAGCCAACGAGCGCGGACACCAGTTTTCCTGGTTTATTTTTTTACAAAAAGCGAAGGCAAACAACAAGTCTGTTACCTTAAAACTAGCGCCACCGGCTTTTATAATAATACGTACAAAAAATTCCTTGTTCAGCGATGCGATGTTTTTCGTCTAATACTTCACAGTTGGCGATTGAGGTTTCTTTTGCAATGAGCCTCCGCTTGCGTACCCCGTTCAGAAAGTCATTCCCGGCTAAACTTTCAAATGAAACCACTTTTAAGATGGACAGTATTTTGATTTGCATTCCGGCGTTTGTTGGTAAATAAAACGGCACCTTGTTTTATTTATAGCGGTCAACAACTTGCAGAGGGATTCAACTCCGCGATACACATTAGTTCCGTGAATAAAGCAAATCCTGAGAAGATATGAACAACCATATGAATTTTCTGCATTTCCATGGCACATATTAAGGCATATTTTCCTACCATAAGGCCATAAAACAATTCAAAAAAGACAGCAAAATCGACCTTTCTCTAGGCCGACGGCGGATCATTCACGAGAACAACCACTCCAGGAACAACCGCTTTCAACTTCCGTTGATTTCAACAGCCAATCAGATCCTGAGGCATTGTTCCAACAGCCAATCAGCGTTACGACCAAAATGTGGCCGCACTGAGCACAAAAGTGAGAGAGTTTATATCAGGCCCAATTTTAGCGGTAGCCGTTAGAGAGAATGTACGAGAACCGCTAAAATTGGGCCTGGTCTCATAGCCTCATAAACACTCGAGCGGTTGGGAGAATACGAGACAGTAATACAGACCCGGGACAAAGTCGAGAATTCTCCCAACCCCTCGAGTGTTTATATTAGGCTATGCAAATACAGAAAAAAAAAAGTTTGCTAATGCGGCTAATGCTGTTATAGGTTAACTTTCCCGAGAAAAAACGCAAAACTATTTGTTATGTAACTGATAGAAAGAGAAATTCTCAATAGTCGCGAAGTCTTGTACACGAAGTTTTGTACACGTAATCAGTTCTTGTTTCCAAGTTTAAGCCGACGAGGGAATGGGTAAATAAAGTAAACTTGCCGAGTTTTCAACTTTTGCAAATTCGTACTTGCGTGATTAGTGGGCTATCTTTAAAACAAGGAGCGGGAAATCGGAGAATGGGAATGGCGAACGGGGAACGGGGAATCTTTAAAATGGGAATCTTTAAAAGCGGGAATCTTTAAAAGAGGGAATCTTTAAAATGGGGAATCTTTAAAAGCGGGAATCTCTAAAATGGGAAATCTTTAAAAGCGGGAATCTTTAAAATGGGAAATCTTTAAAAGCGGGAATCTTTAAAATGGGGAATCTTTAAAAGCGGGAATCTTTAAAACAGGGAATCGTTAAAAGCAGGAATCTTTAAAACGGGGAATCTTTAAAAGCGGGAATCTTTAAAACAGGGAATCTTCAAAAGCGGGAATCTTTATTGCATGCGTGCAGACGTCTCCTATTTCCTTTGTTGCACGCGGAAAAGGGACGTCTGCGTAACGCCGTCGCTGATCGTGTTCCAGCTTCCCGCTGGCAGGGTATCCTATTTCGCATAAATTGTGAAATAATATCCGGTTAGAAATAAGAGTTGACAGGCCAAACAAAACATCATAAGCTCGTGATACAGGCGAAACGTGACCTTGACAGTCTGCTTGAACAGAGGGTTTTCTTCTTTCCTCTCTCGCGCGAAGATTACTAGCACTACACAGTGGATGTAGCTTTCTAACCTTTGACTGAGTAAATCTCATTTTTGCCGCGCTAAGTCTTACATTTGGAGGTCATGAAGCAGGTTTGTTACATGCATACCGAGTAATCATTTCCTGTGGTTTATGCTTCTGTGGGTGTTCCCGATAGGATTTGATTTCAGTTGCAGTTGTAAAGTGTTTAAATTTTCTTGACCTCTGTTTGTTACGGCTAAATAAAGATTTTAGTTTCTTTGGCTGGCTTTCTCCGAAATGCCAGCCTGGTGCGAAGTCCACGCCGCTTTTGTAGTTTTCTCACACACTGTTTACAAATATGATGTGATGTGTCATGCACAGTAAATTGTAAAGAAACAATTTCCTCCTACACGTTAAATTTTCCGCGTCCCCGCACAAGATTTCGATCGCTCTGCTTTTCGATCGACGAAAAACACAGC